TCACTGTATAACCTTTTCCTGCCATCCGAATTATATATTGAGAATGAATCTCTCCAGGTCGATATGCATCTAAAAGCACAGTATCATTTTTATCAGAAGAGCTAGTATGACCATGACCCTTTAGGGTCATCTCTTCGGGTCTAGATGCAAGCCAGTATTTATAAAATCTATGTTCTTTATGACCAGGTTTATAATTAAGATCCGTTAAACCTGTAAAAAGCCTTTTTGCTTCATTATATTCAGCTGACTTTTGATTTAAGCAATGTTGCTGTAACGATTCATGAAGATGTTTTTTTGCTTCACTAGACAAACTCATTTTATTGATTTGTATATATGTGTTGTTTGTATATGCGTTATTTGATTTAACAAAAATTATATATATACTATTCTTTTGTAATTATAATAACCAATAGATAAATCTTTAAAATAAAAATAATTATTCTATGAAGAATTCTTCACATAGATCATGCCAAGAAAAAATATAAATTTGATTGAAGTAATTTTTATACAAAAGCAATGAAGTCCAATGGCATTTTCTATTGCTCATATATTCATAAAACTAGAAAAATCTGTGGTCGACATAGTTATAAATCAGAAGGATATTATATTTATTGGAAATCTCCAGTATATACCCCTTGTAGAGATTGTGGTAAATTAAATCATTCCAAACACAATGCATGTAATAATCATGTAGACAAGTATCAAAGTAGAGAGAATTATTGCAGAAAAAAATAGGATGAATTATATACAAAAATTGCTATGCTTGAGAATTATACACCTGACTTATTCGAATTAAGACATGAAATATAATCATGCACTTGACATTTATCGATTATTTTTTTGAGGATTTCTTTAAGCAGTGCTATATCCTCTTTAATACCTATTATATTTTGTGCAATCTTATCTTTCAAAGAAAGTACATTACATGCATTATGCAAGTGTTATGAATTCTATAACTTTCGATCGATTTCGTATCTTACTTATGACAATTTTCCGACTGAATTACTTTAACCACGACCTATTCAATTTTTGGATATAGATATACCAATTTAGGATAATTAATTTTGATTTGAAAGAATAAGTAGGATAACGTATAATCATAATCTACTTATTAATATATATATATTATTTATATACCTATCATGAAAACTGCTCGAAAAACCTGAAACTCCAAAACTAATAACTTTACCTCTATTTTGGATCAGATCATAAAAAAATATAACCTATCTACAGAATCTGATCCATCCTAATTATATGCTTACGCCAATGAGCTTGGTACTATGCTACCAGATTGGAAAGCTCGTAAAGATGTAAAAGAGACTCTTTGTCGATGCCTATTCAAAGGGAATCAAATAGAAGCTCTTGTGCCAGACAAAAGGGGGGAAAAGCTTACTATCAAGGAAAAAGCTCAATATTGTACAAAAACTGAAGATGTCTGGGATATTTACTTGCATGCTTTAGCTTTAGCTGAGACAAAAAATAATACTGATAAGAAGATTGTGACGTCCAGTTTTCATCTTTCGCAATTTCGTAAAAAGTTAGCAGAAGCTGGAGTTGATTCCAAAGAAATTGATACATATGCTAAATTACCAGATGTTACTGAAGCTTTTAACAAAATCCAGAAGAAAAAACTCGAACAACGATTACCCAATTCACCTAAAACTCCCAAACATTTTTCCTTAGATAAGGGACTTAGAAGAATTCAAAATATCAATACTACTAAAATTCCTACTATACAAGATCTCACAGATGTGATCATGATGTTAAGCATAAGACCTGCTGAAGTGACTACTCTCTGAATTATCCATTATAAACCTAATGAATCAAACCCTCCAATATAATATAAATCTGGCTATTCTTGGTATTGTATTGGATATATTAAAAATAAACTGAGAAAAAAACTGAAGAATGAAGAAAATAATACTTTCAAACCTAAGCCTGAGTCTCGATAATTTCTCTCTATGGAAAAGAATCTAGAACATGCAAGAGAATTGCTTACCTGGATTCAAAATGTGATAACAATTGAAAAGTTGCGTGATCCTGTTTATAGTGTTAATGGGAAACATAGTATTAAATCATTTAATAATTTTCTAAGACCTTATGGTATTACGGCCAAAAGATTATGAAAAATTGGAGGTAAACATGCTTCTAGAATTCATGGTGGGCAAAATCCAACTCCACAACATCTTGATTTTCTTATCAGAATTGCATTGAGACATAAGATAGACTGTTTTGATACAGGAAAAAATTATGCTGAGGGTGATATTTCCGATTCTAAATCCGAGTCTAATAATTCTTTAGAGTTAAAACTTTCTGATCTCAAGGCTCAAGCTTTGACATCTCAGCCTAAGAATAATAACTATAATCCTTTCGGGTCTCAAATTGCAGAAATAGATTCAATATTAGTTACACATACCCATTATCCATGTACTTACACATAAATAAACCATTGATACATTAAGTACTTTTGGTCATGCCAGCTCTGTTGATAATTTTATCTTATCTATCTTTTTTCCGAACTGGAAGATTATGATGATGCCGAGCATCAAGTCTTTGACTCTCCAATAAATGATGTGACAATTCTATTAATTTTATTTTGAGATTTTTTATTTATCAAATGTAGGAAAACGAGTTGACCTACCCATCTACCATATATATATTTTTTTCGGTTAGCTCCATTGATTATCTATTAAATAAAAAGTCTTAGTTAATAAAATCCACACACTTGAGATATAAAATATAAAATATGAGTTATAGTAGTGTACGAGATAAATTAAGTGAATATGGTGAAAATTATATTATTAATAATATTAAAATGTCAGAAGCATGGTTACGATTTGCAAAATATTATCCACCAAAATATACAGTATATGCAAGCGTTTATTAAAATTAGGGTATGAAATAAATAATAGAGATTACTGGGAAAATTTTATATTTCGTATCAAAAATAATTTAATCAGCCATAAACAAATAGGTAATGACCCTGAATATAGGAATTTTAAAGTTCAACTACACTTCAATGTTCTTTGCAATAAAGAAATCGTTGGCCAGAACTTTCTTGATATGACCAAAGACGATTTTATGCAGGCAGGATTGGAAATGGGACCAGTGATGAGACTCGCAAAAGAAGCCAAATCTCTTAAAACCGTACCGAAGCGTCCTTTCTCTTCATACCACAGTTTGAAAGAAGTGCTGGCAAAATATGGAATTGATGATAATCGAATCACGGTCATACCTCAGTTCACACCAGATATATATGACGATCTAATCGATATAATATTTTTTTTTCTGGCTCATTACAAATCTTTGATCATAATAGACATCTACAAGCTCGATGATAATGATGAAGAACTTTTCCACTGTATTAAGAAAATAAAGCATCGATTGGGTAATATGGAAACAGTGGTTGACAGTAATGAAGCTATGCACTGTTCCTACATTGAGTCAATCTTACATGCTAGTGTTCGTATAGTCATGCACCTTACCGAGAAGGGGTTACTCTTAATTCCTCAGTTAGAAGTATCCGGTGGTAAAAGTCATGGCTGTGTCGACTATGTGGTTAAGAAAATTGTAAACACCATGGTGGAAAACATCATATGCGTAACCGAGGGCAAGCAGAATCAAGCAGGAATTGGTATAGCGCAGAATTTAATACAGTATGAAAGATCAGAACAGATATGATCTTATTTTCGACTGGAATGATATTTATCCTTTTATTCAACATAACACTAATAAAGTCAAATTTTATAGACGAATAGAAAAAAACGAAAAGTTGACGAGACCTTTGGAGATTCTTATTATGACTATCTCTATGGTATCGTTTCCACTGCTTCAGATTGGTATTTTCTGTTATACAGTAGTGAAGGAATCTGGTGCATCAGTAAAACAGAATATCATATCTCGCTAACTGAATCTGCTCTAGACGATGATACCGATTTATGTAAGGGGGTTAAAAGGGTGATGGAAGTAATCGTTGGTTTGTTAAAAGATAGGGTAATGATTGATAGTGCACCTGATATAAAAAGACGTCGAGTAGAAGAAATCAAAAAGTAATTATGTAGGGAAATATGTATACCGAGCTTTATTTCCTTGGCTGAAAGTTAGCATGGCTAACACTTCACATGTATTTTAGATGCCCTAGGCATCAGCTCCGCTATATTATATTAATAAAGTAATCAGACCTAAATGGTTATTCCTTATTTCGGAATTTGTGTATGGTGTTATTATTGGAATTATCGTCTAAAACAACGAAGTGAATTACTGCGCCCTTGTGACTGCCACGTCGTGAAAAACCAGATATTGATAATAAAAAATTTTGCATGTATGCATATATAACATGTTGCTCGATATGACTGTAAAAATGCACAGATAAAGTTTGATCTGCAATTGTCGTATAGTATGTTGTCAATCTCGTCCATCATGTAACACTAGTCCAAATTGGATTATTCGGCTGCCGAATTACAGCCAATTAAATCCAAATTTATTAATAAAAGTTTATACTG